CGAAATTATGTTTGATTTATATGAGTTAATTTAGACGTAATGCACATTTTTATTTTTATAGACAGTTATTTCTTTTGCTTGGCAATTTAATGCGCTGCATTATTTTGCTCATTGCGCCCTCCTGTGGCTTCGGGAGACAAGCCAAAAGTTTCCTTAAAACCTGATAAATTGGGTTAAATTAAAAATACAGTGGTTAAATTTAAACGTTTTTCTATTGCTCTTTGTTTTAAAAAAGGTTATAAAAAATGTCAATAATTATCGATACCGAACGATATGAAACATTATATCGTTGATACATTTTTTAGCTATATCGCCCAGCCCTAAGTGAGAGTACCACAAATATATTTTTTGCATTCCCGATTTGCTCAAATAACAAAAGAAAAACTCCACGACATGTTTTCATGACTTTAAAGAAAAGGAAAAATTTGAGAGACTGATAACGGCAGTCAGAAGAAATAACAATGTCAAATTTACCATCCCTCCCATAGACGCTGCATTAGAAACACCCTCGCATTAGCATTAACCAGTTTTTTTATAATTTGGTGCAAACTTTTGAGGATTTACGATGCTGATGATTGTTGAAACGCGCCATCACAGTCTTGTGAAAAAGGTCCATTGTAATGCGTATGCAAACGAATATGTGAATCAGATTGCAACATTTAGGGTTCATATAAACAGAACTTTCAGTATCTGAAATTAGATTGGATTCATTCCAGTTTATGAAAATTAGCGCACGTAAACACACCTAGTGTGTAGACTAAATAGTACATTTAAAAATATTTCAGTCATCTGAACTCTAGCCTGATGGTTAGTGCATGTGCTTTAAAACGTAGCGTGATGTCGTTCATATGGAGCAATGCAAATTCATGTCATCTGTCATCTCATCTGTCATTTCTCTATCCCATTCCCTTTTCTCCCTAACATTCCTGTGTCTTCTAACTCTCAATAAAATGAGAGAGGAAATCTTTTGGATTCCTGATGATGCTTTCAAAGGCCAAAAGAACATGTAGGGCTGCCAAAACGAGACACCATGGAGGAGTCTCTCCAGTCTCCAGATCACCAGAAGCATCATTAGCTATAACCACTAATGGCTCTTTACACAACCCAGCCTGAGCTTTCTGTTTGTTTCCTTAACACCCTCACTTTAAAAAATACGGTCAGCCTGCTCATGTGCATTATTCAAAGCGCTGTTCATTCACCTCCCATTCATTCCGCTTCACAATGGCTCCTATCACTACCCTAGACATTGCTAATTCATGGTGGTGACATTCATGTCTCCTAGAGTCATTCGGGGATCACCATGTCTTTCTTGGAAGAGTGGGCTCTGTGGCGGAGCAAGAGGAAGCCCCTTCATCCGCCTGCGGAGCTCTCTGTTGTCTTGGCAAGTAAGGTGTTCGCTGGCCCATGTGTAAGTAGGTTAATCCCTTCTCTCTTTCTCACTCTTTCTGCTCCTGGAACCACTGCTCAGGGGAATAACCTCTCCTTGTTACATGAACTATTCTTAGAACATCACAAATCTCAGATCCACAGAGGATGAGAGATGCTGGCATGACTTGTGGGATTTCTTTGGGAAGCATAAATGGCTGTTCCCGAGTCTTACGTGTACTTCTCTAAAACAACAAAGCGTGCAAATAATCTAAGCGAATGCATTTTCACGTCTGTGGATGGAACTAAAAGAGAGAGCTTGATGCATAAATTATTTAATAGCTCACATGATGAAATAAACAAGCTGATGCTTTGGTATATTATCTCAAATGGTAAAATTATAGGCTGCTGTAGATCATGTGATTTAAAGGCATTCATTAAACACAAAAACACACATGCACATTAAAACCACTTTCAAGTAAAGGTTATGCAGATTCCTAAACCCCATTCACTTTGCTAGTCCATGCTCATCTATCAACATAATAACATACAGACATCTAGGTCATGGGGACCATTAGCCCATCTGTCTTCGCTTATGTTCCAGTGCATTTGTTACTTTTTACTAATTAACTGAGGTTAATCTAATCACAGTTGCCCTTGTATGAGGTGGTTTACAATCTCTGGATGTCCCCCTTATATATTCATCAGATATATATAAAGGAATTTACTGTTGATGAAAAAAAAAATGTAATTAATGAGTATTTTTATGGTAATTATGCCTAAACATGCTCACTCCAAACATGTAATGAAGACTTGTACAAAACATTATTTTATTTCTAGTTTTGTTTAAATGAATTTGTGTGCTTGGTAAAGCACTTTATTATAACCATCAGTATTTTAATAATTAATATTATTAATAATAATAACTGTCAATTGCATGATACAGCAGGTCATGTGATGTCAACATGTCAGTGACCATTAAGGAGCAACCCGCTCCAAGTACAATACAACAGCTTTATTATATTTCTGATATCATGTTTCTCAAAAGTGTTGTTTTTAATAGCGAAATAAAATACGGAATGTATCTTAAAGGGGTCATATGATGCGATTTCAAGTTTCCCTTTCTCTTTGGAGTGTTACAAGCTGATTGTGCATAGATAAGATCCCTGAAGTTGCAAAAATAATGATCTTTAAAAAAGCATCATATGACCCCTTTAAATACTGAAGGCTGTTTCATTACACAAATAAAAATGGACCGAATTCCCATTAAGTCATATTAGGCTCCCAATATATTGCACATCCACGTCCTCGATGACATCACGTTCGTCCATTGCGCCAACGCTCCAAATTATGACGTTTTCGCTGAGGACACAGCCACATAATCAATAAAACGATATTAAGTCCAACTGACCTTCTCGCGTGAACGTAATTCTAGATCAACAAAATTCATTTTTATATGCAACCTTATTAAAATGAACTAGAATTATGTTTTTAATGAAATGCGCATAAATCAAAATAAAATAGCTTTAAAACAGTTGAGCGCGATTAAAAATCAAACGGTCACATAATAATATTCCTGAATAATGCAAACTATGTTACAGGTATAACTGCTAACAATGGATCATAATTTCATAGACTGTTCATCAGCGCCGCATTCTGTGAACTGTACATCCATATCTAACGTTACCGAACTAACGTTACAAGCAAGCCAACTGGGACAAACCGGAGCTTCAAAAGAGAGATAACGTTAGAGAGTCAAGGAGAATTTAGAGGTTGTACGACAGAAATGTGGATGAAAAAAGTGGATCCTCCATTGGACTGGGACCGTTATTTGTGTCTTGCACAATAGTGTGAGTTGAGTCTCCCCTCGTGTAACAGTGACAGAGCGGCCTTACCTCTTCCAGAACATTGACCGTGTTCCGACAGCTCTGCAAGCGGGTGGTGAAGCTTGATGTCGTGGGGGAATTGTAATCCTCCGTCGTCTCCGAGAGAAACTCGGACACGGAGATCTGATCCGGCATCCTTGCAAACACAGTCGCCCAATAAAAATGGAGGGGAGAAAAATCACAATAGCACCATGAATTAGACAGGGGTGGTCAAGAACGGAGCGATGTCTCTGTTTGGGTCAGGTTGAATGGTAAGGCAATGCGTAAAATGAAAAGAAACGTGGCCAAATGTGTGGCAGTGCCCTTTTCTTCACTGACTATGCAGTTTCCGTCCCTAGAGAGGGTCGTTGTGTGTAATTTCCACGTCTTTCCTCTTCCCTTGTCTCAATTATCCACTTGCATCTACATAAAACGGTTCAGACTCCTCTCCTTGTTCTCTCAATGTAAGCTGTAAGATGCTGGTTTAGAATGCCCTCATTCCACAATCTAGCTTTAAAATAGTCTTATATTTTGAGTGTTTCCTTCAATTATTGTTGTTCCGGTCTCGGAAGCGGTTTCATTCTGTTTTCCCTTTCTCTTTCCTCCGTTTCCCCCCGTCCTGACGGTCTGAGCTCCCTGAAACCAGCGCGAGCACGCACGCTCATCTCCTCCCACCGTTGATGACGGGGAAAAACAAGAGGAGAAACTGCGCATGCGTCAAAACGAAATGTAGAGGGCTTTACTTTGGCTGCTTTGTGACAGAGCACATATGCAAAAAAAAAATCAGGAAATAATAATAAATACAGAATTAAATAAATGCAAGAGTAAATTAAATAAATACAATATATTATTGGTAAAATGAATGCATGATTATATTAATAAAACCCCCCAAAAAATTCAGGACTAAATTGTACAAAAAAAGACCCATCGGGTCATGTATTTATACATTAATTTATATTTATTAGTATTAATCAATACTTTATAAATGTAATGCAGTCTATAAAGCATATAATTTGCCCTAATGCTGATATCTACTGAACACAGCCAGAATTTATGGTTTCATGCACTGAAGGCAAGTTAAATATATGTAGATGGTGACCCTGGACCACAAAACCAGTCATAAGGGTCACTATTTGGAAATTGAGATTTATACATCATCTGAAAGCTGAATAAATAAGCTTCCATGGTATGTTAGGACAATATTTGGCTAAGATACAACTATTTGAAAATCTGGAATCTGAGGGTGCAAAAAAAATCAAAATATTGAGAAAATCGCCTTTAAAGTTGCTAAAATGAAGTTCTTTGCAATGCATATTACTAATCAAAAATTAAGTTTTTATATATTTACGGTAGGAAACTTACAAAATATCTTCATGGAACATGATCTTTGCTTAATATCCTAATGATTTATGGCATAAAAGAAAAATCGATAAATTTGACCCATACAATGGGCTTTTGCTACAAATATACCTGTGCTACTTATGACTGGTTTTGTGGTCCAGGGTCACATATGTGTGTATTATGCTGCTATAACACAGCATAAACATGTAACTTTTGCCATATAAAATGGTTTAATCATTCTCTCAGATTCACCAATTTTACTTTGTAGGAACTTTAGGTTCTCACTGAAATATTACTGCACATAATTTGGACATCTCATAACTGTGACAAGAGGGGACACCCATAAAGGCTGTTGCCCAGGGCCTCACAAGACCACAATCTGTCTTTAGGGGCATGAAACAATTTCAGAGGTCAGGGAGTTCTTTGATTAAACTCAAACATACTTTGATTACAGCGCTGTAAATTGAGGAATGTTAGTATAGACTGATGTGCAAATCTAGAAGCAGAATAAACTCACTGGAAGCACATATGATGTGCAGATGGAATATTTAGTGGTATAATGCATGAAAGAAGAGCAGTGCATTTTTCAACTCACCGACTCCATAAAGAATCCCTGGAGGAAAAACTTGATAAACGTGAGGATGAGGACCTCATGGCTCTGTAGTCACCTCAATAAAACAACCTTGAGCTAAGACAATAAAAAAAAGTGTTATTATCAGAGAGTGGAGCTAGATAATCGAGTCAATACACTGGATCTCTATTGGAAAATCCAGTTTAAGCTAGTTGCTGGTTTCTAGCTGTTCCAAGCTGGTAGACCAGTTTAGGACCATCAACAAAAACCAGCATCTTAAAATGGTTAATCGTTTTGAAACATATTAGTTGGTCAGTCAGCTAATGGCAATCTTAAACCAGCTAGAAACCAGCTACCATGTTCCAAAACACATCCTCCAGTTTAAGCAGGATTTTCCAGAGAAATAAACATGTCAATAATTAAGTGTGATTCTCATCTTTCCTAGGAAAAATACAATCCCTGGAAAAAATGCGCCTTTCCTGAAGTTTCTGTTTGCTGCTGATATCACATTATCTCAAACAAATTTTGCCACTCGTGGAAAATAACCACGCCTTATAACTTACCGAGACAGCTGCGGTTTCGCACCGTATTAATAGCTTCAAACGTAATTGCAAAGTAAATTGTGCACAAAGCTCCGTGTTTCCAAGTGCCACCATATTCACTGCATTGTGCTCAATCCAGCGCGCGGACATTACGGGTTGAAATCACATGCCGCTACAGTTACAATGAGCTGGAATGCGCGCATTGATCTGGCCCATCTGGAACTGCTGGACAGGAAGCGAAAATCAAGCATGTGGGCCGGAGGAGGGAATCCTGCAAAGGACCACAACTAATGGCAGGAACTGGGAACGCTTAACTTTTAAATGGAAATCTTACACCTTTGGCGAAATGAACGCGTTATGCAGTATTAAATTCAGCGTTACTAACAGAAATGAGTCTCGCTCTTTGAGAAAACATGCTGATCAACCTTGTCTCTGAAAGTAATGCGCATCAAATAATTAAGGCCATCAAAAGCACAAAAATAGAGGTTTTACACACTAAGAACAGAGATTTAATGTTTTTTTTTATTACATTTAATTCGTTTCAACGTATTTGGAAACAAGTGACTACCGACTGCACGTAAAATTAAGTTAAATGATGCATAAGTAAGTTTGTTTGCTTTTTTGCTAAAATGTTTTTAAATTAATACAAAGATCATAGCATCCTCCATCTCCTTGAGACATAAAAAGATTTTCTTTAAAACGTTGTATATTTTTCTATAAATATTCATGGAAACATGATAAATATAAGACGACATATAATACATATACATAATAAAAACAATAAATCCATTTATATATATATATATATATATATATAAGGATTTATTGTTTTTATCATTATTATTATCCATCATGGAATTTATTATTATAATTAAAAGTTAGAAGTATGAAATCCAACATCTCTATACTGAGGGTCCCTCGGTTGGTTGAAAGTCCGGGTCTGGATCTGTAAAGGTTGGAAATCATTGCATTGCTCTAAAGGCATCTGTCATATTATTTATAACAACTTACTTAATAATTTGGCACATTGGAAAACCCTCCAATCCAAATACTAAAAATCCCTTTGCAAAACAGTATGTGAATATCACCTTTCACAAGTATTTGAAAATACACAATTGAGTACAAGAGGAAAAAAGTGCATTTATTATTGAGGATCTGCAACAGAATGATCCAAACAAGACTTGAGCAGCTCATATAGCCCTCAGAGCCCCAGCAACTAAGTGATGCAAACAAATATAAACAGGAGAACAGGAAAATTAATCTCCTTCATTTCAAAGCCTTTCATCACTAACATCCACCTCCGAGCAACCCTGATACTTTCGTGACTTATAAAAGCTCAACCGGCTTAAATGAACAAATTATTTTCAAGTTAAAATAAAAAGAACAAAACAAAACAACACAGATTTTAATAACACACCTATATAAAGGCAATACAATTGATGCGATTACCACACGTGTAACACAGCTCCTTTAAAAGAAAAAGAAAAGAAAATACAGTTGTCCGATTGACTTCAAGTCGCATTACACATGGACGCGGTGATGGGGAGAGCTGTTGACCCCCATCCTGTTTTTTGCCCTGTAAAGATAGGGAGCCAGATTACTGCATGCTGTGAGCTCACAGCTACTGGAACTCCTTCCCGTTTTCCGGGAGGGGTGTTGCTAGGGGGTGTGTCCGGCACAGCCCACTCTAAGAGGGGGTGGGACAGGTTAGTCTGAATCAGATTCAATACTATCTTCTGATGATGAGCTGCTGGAACCGTCCGATTGGTCATCATCATCATCGTCGTCATCATCGTCATTCTAAGTCAACATTAGAAAAGAATGAATACCTGTGCTAATAACAAAGCAGCTTTTCTAGAATTTAACCAAAGCAAAATTAACCTCGTCATCTTCGTCATCATCCTCACTATCAGTGCTGCCAGATGACTCATCATCTTCATCCTCCGAGTCTGACGTATCTGTTTTCTCATCATCTTCATCTGAGTCCGACGTGTCCTGCTGGAAACCAAGAGTCACACATCTCTCAAACTCTCTTTATATGTGCATATCACTATATTTGCACACACACACACACACACACACCATCAGCAAAATCAATTAGTGAAATTTAAAATGATGTAACACCCTAAGCCACTTCATATAGAGTCCACAGCCTGTGTGGGTGAGTTGCCCAGAGAGAGCGGGCGTTACCTTGGCCCGGTACGCCATGGAACGCTTGCCCCCCCCGGGACCCACCGTCGCGGCTCTGGCACCTACCGCCTTCCCCTTGGTGACTTGGACTTTCGCCCCGGGACCTCGTGCTTTTGTAGTGCTTCGCCGTTTCTGTGAGGGCAGAGAGAGGGCAGGGTGGGGGTGCAAGGACAGAGCGGCACAGGAAAAAAAATAAAAAAACACGTTCAAGCTTAAGCAATGATTAGTAGCCTCACAGTACAACCCTAAGAACATTATCCATTCAAGTCATGTTAGTTTGAGCCAAGAGATGTGATTCTAAACAGGGAGAAAGGAAATAATGAAGCCACGTGTGATGGCATGGATAGAAACAGCTTTTACAAGCAAAGTCAATCAACTAAATTAACCAGGGTGCCTCATCTTGCCATGCAGTGCAGGGGTATCGATATAGAGAAGAGTAAATCACAATCTCAGCGATATATGAATGACTGTAACGCTAATATACAGAGCTTTAAGCGCAAGTTACAGCCACAAAAATGAGCAATTACTTACCGTAGATGAGAACTCTTTATATACCGCACGCTCCTGAGGGGATAGCGACTAGGAAAACAAGAAAAAAGAGAGGGAAATACGTTACGACAAATCTCCAAACTCATATTGCTCACACAATTTTTTTAAAATAAGGTCATTGAGAGACAAAAGTTTCCATGAAAAAGAAAAGGAAAATCTTTTTAAAATGTGCCAATTTCATAAAAGTGCACTCTTTGTATTCTTGTTGGTTTCATATGGGGTTGCAAAAATATTTTTTAGAAAAGTTTCAATTTATTATGAAAAAATGTAATGTAGTGTAACCATCAAGTAAAAATTAATAACATTTTCCCTTGATTACATCTTAGTCCTTCTATTAAAAATAAATAAAGTTTAAGGTAAAAAAAAAACACGTATTATGCATATTGTTTTTGCTGATTTATACTACATGACATTTTATACAATCTGAGCAACTAGCTTTGTTTTTCAAAAATTAAGTAGTGAAGCTTTTGTTAAAATAAAAAAAAATAATAAAAGCTTAATTTAAAAAAATGTAACACTTTATTTTACAGTATCCTTGTTACATGCTACATGTGCTTACTATTACAATAACAATAAATTATGCATAATTATATATGCAAGTAACCCTAAGCCAAACCCTAATCCTAACCATATAGCAAGTACATGTAGTTAATTAATATTACTCAGTACTTAAATGTATAATTACACTGTAACAAGGACACCTTAAAATAAAGTGTAACCTAAAAAAATTATGCAGGGTCAGAAAGCTCTCTGATTTCATAAAAAATATGTTAATTTGTGATCTGAAGATGAATGAAGGTTTTACAGGTTTAGAAAGACATGAGGGTGAGTAGTCCATGACAGAATTTTCATTTTTGGTGACCTATCCCTTTAAGTGATTGCATATATAAAATGTTTTTTAATGTATTTTTTTAATAAACAGGACAATAAATAAGCACCATATAATAAGCACCCAATAATAAACAAAAATTGTATTTGATTTGTAGAACTGAAAGATTACCTACCTTTACCCAAGCGTCAAGCTCAGCTTTGTACTCTAGTTGTTGCTCCTCCACCTGTTTTTTATATTTGTCCTTCTGGCTCTGACTAAGCTTGTGCCATCGCTTGCCGATCTCCACCATGCGCTCCTTCAGGCTGAAGTGATTCAGCTCACCGTTAGTTAGCAGTTCCTGAGAGAACATTTGATACCCGCTCCTGAGGTTGGACAGGAGAAGACAAAGTAGTATTGAAACAGACGAAATAGTATTTTTTAACATGGAAGGTACGTTTCTCGGAAAGCAACGAGCTAAAAAAGTTAGACTCACACTGGGGGCTTCTTAGGCTCGCCATCGAATTTTGGTTTTCTTTGTCCCTGTCCTGACAGAACTGTCCTCATCTCTAACAGCTCTCTCTGCAGGATGGAAAAACAAGAACACAGAACACTGAAATGAAGACATTTAAACATCACTGCAATGATGGCAAGTCACGCTTATCAAATGTAAATACAAATTCCACCAACTTCTGCTAGAAACAGCACAGACTTAGCATATACACATTGAGACACAAGTGCATCCATTGCAGACCCCTCCGCCTCTACTCTGGGGAGGAGGAAAGTTCGGGGTGACCAACATTTTGACATTTCTTCAGCACAGGTGAGAAGACAGTGGTCAAAACGTCTGGTCACTGACCACGGTCTGGTACTGAACCTCGTATCGCTTCTGGTCCTCTGCAGCCTTCTTGATCCAAGGAATCTTCTCCTTCTTTTCCATGGCCTTCCAAGCGGCATCCATTGCATTCTGCGCTTTCTTCCGGTCATTCTGTGAAGAGCAACAGTTTAAGGTCATTGTTTCTAGATGATGTTGTTGTAAAAACAAATCTTTCTTCAGCATTCTGTGATTCTTTAGGGGTCTCTTTGTATTTTATGAAAAATCATTAATGTTGCTCTTACTCTGTATTTAGCCAGATAGTCTCCTATCACACTCTGCTGCCACATTTCCTCTGGAGTCTTCGGCGTTTCAGGAAGCCGTGTTTTCTTCTTACCGTCTCGCTTCTCTTTCGAAAGCCCATGTACACACTGATCCAGCTCAGGGTCACGACACCGTTCCTACGGCACAACAAGAAGAAAAAAAAACTGCTTCTCATTCTGATTCCGACAACATACCACCAGAGCGTAACAGCATGCAAGTACATAAACAAGGGCATCTTGCACATGCCCACCTTCACAGATAGGGATTTGGCCCTTAGGGGGCTGCCTGCACCCGCTAGGTTCAGCTTGGTGCCTCCCAGCTTCTCCTCTCCCAACACACGCTCCCTCTCCTCTTCTGGGAGACTCTGCAGAGAGACGGAGATTGAGGAAGTATGAAAATAAGCAGGATCAGGAATTCAACAGTAACTGTTTTAATCAAATTAATTTGTAGTGCTTTATACTTACCTCGAGAAACCTCTGAATGTCAATCTCATACTGTTTCTTTTTCTGATGAGAAAGATAAACATGTTATTTTTAGTTATAACTAAGCCATGTTGTTGATGTAACAACTGTGTTATTGAGAATTGTAATAATAAAAATGTTAATAATAATAATAATAATTATTATTATTATTAACCATGCCTGCTTAGTCAGCTACAAAATCAGTTGACAGTTTTGTCAATGAACAGTAAACAATTTCTGTTTTTAGTTGTTGTTGTTTTTACATTTTGAATAAAAATTCAATGTTTTTTTTATCTTTATTTATTTATTTATTATTTATGAAGACTCATGTGACACTGAAGACTGGAGTAATGGCTGCTGAAATTTCAGCTTTGCCATCATAGTTATGAATTACATTTACAACATAGAAAGTCATTTTGAATTGTAATAATATTACACAATTATTTTTACTGTATTTTTGCTCAAATGAATGCAGCCTTGGTGGGCATAAGAGACTTTCAAAAACTTTTGAACCGTAATGTATATATATGCATATATTATACCGCCCATCGACCACAGAGCTTCCTACAAATCAGGGTTGGCCATTACTGAAGAAACTTTTCCAGATCACAATTATTTAGCATCAATTTTTAATATTTTCTTTTTTTTTGGTTTAAACAAATCAAGAGTGGACTGTTCTGTCAGACCTGTTCGCATCGTTTCTGGAACATATCCTTCTCTTTCTGGGTCATCATCTTCCATTGCTTACTGCACAGCACCATTCGCTCCGTACTTGGCACGTCCTTCATGTTTACCATTAGTTCAGCACAGTACATAGAATAGCCATTTCTGCAGAACATAACAATAAAAATATACATGAAATCAATACATACATATAATAAATTGAACATATCACAAACACTGCAAATATATAGACAAGAACCATTAGTGAATTTCAAAACGGTCACCAACATTCTATTTCTATTATAAGAGCAGTATATCTTATAAGATAAGACTGCATAAGTCATGCAAAACAACTAAATTAAGGTTTTAAATCCAGAGAAATAAGCAATTTTAACTAGTGACACGACCGTTTCCATAGTGTCATTGTGGCGCCTGATAATGACGTCATAACCCCTTGATTTCCAGAAAATATGGAAACACCAAATACGCACGCTTTAGGCCCCGATCACACCGAATGCGTTTTTTGGGTCTGAAAACGCGAGGCGCACCACATTGCCCTTTTTTTGGTGACTTTTAAAAAATGTTTTTGTGTTCCTGTAGCTCAGTGGTAGAGCATTGCGTTAGCAGCGCAAAAGGTCGTGGGTTCAATTCCCAGGGA